ATAGCCGCAAATCTCCCCGTTCTATGATATTCAATCTGCTCCTTTTCTTTGTTAAAAGGTTTGTAGCGACACTAAAACTTTTTTCGACAAGATATGACGAGGGAAATGCTATCAAAAGCTTTCTCGCAATTCCGCACAATCCAGGATATTTTTCGGGTGTTTCTGCCTGCAGCCAAAATGTTTGATACCCTCTTTTAAATTTCACCTTCAGCTCCTCATTAGTGTTAAGTTCGAGTAGCTCCTCTTGTAATATCACATTCTCCACTTCCGTTTCATCAAATGGATTTATGATCCATGGTGGTATTTCCATCGTCAGAACATCTTCAAATCTGATTTTGAATTCATCATGCAGGGCAATTAAATGTTGAACGTATGTCTAAATATCCTCATCAAGCCATTCTACCTGTGACAAGTTTGAAAACGGGGAAAATTCGCGCCGACTAATATTTTGCTTCATAAATTTCAATTTTCCAACAAAGACTGAAACTACACCCTTTGTTTTTATTAAATTGTAAGTTAATGTCATTAAATTTTTTGAACAAATCTGTCAAATACGCGATATCTGCTTTCAAATTGATCAGGGTTTCATTTAAATCCGGGTTTTTACTTTCCAGAAACTCTAACACTGATTCAAAAAGTGAATAAAATCTTGTTAAACATGCACCTTTCGACAACCAGCGTACTTCAGTATGTAAGAGCAATCGTTGGAAGTTTTCTTCATTTCCATTCAATGCATTGCTTCTTATTTTATTAACTGCATTAATCGCAAATTGAAGTGATTGGTACAATCTATCACTCAAATTTTTCGCTACTAGGTGTTGTCGGTGTATGACACAGTGAATTGCAGTTACCTCTGGTATAATTTTTAAGTTCTTACAAGTAACAGTCGCTGAGCTTCTTAAAATATTATCTGCCTACATTGATAGGCGAAGTCAAGCCAACATTTTAGTTCTTCACTATCGAAACCAGAAAAATGTTCGTGGACCCCCATTTTTTTGTCACGCCAACGTAGACCCCCGTCGAATCGCCCGTAGACCCCTGAGGGTCCACCTGGATCACTTTGGGAATCAATGACCTATAGTATGATGTTTTTTTTTGTTTTGCTATCAAAAAGCTATCTAAATAAAGCTTTGAGATTCTGTGATACACCTATGTGATAACTTCCCGACTTATCTAATCCCATGCGGTCGAGTGATTTTGCTTTAGCAGAAAAAACTCTTTAAACTTTGAAATCAGAATAGGGTGTTACTGGCTCAACTGCTTTTCAAGGCGAGTGAGTCTCACGCTGTCATTACTTAAAATTTTCATACAAATCACACACTGAGGCCATTACAGTTCGTTTTTTTTATCAAGGTAAATCCAAAGTTAATATAGTCTTCGGAAAACTTTCTTTTTTGCTGCCATTTTGCGTTTATAAAAATAAAGTACTTAAATGTGATTATGTGCTCATTACTTACGTTCTAGATGTACGTAACTATAAATGGGCCGACTACATTGTAATTGGAAAATTTTTTTGACTTTTAATATTAGTTTGAAATGACTTATGAAAAGATGCTTTTTATAATTATTTCATAGGTTAATTTACGTTTAAATTTCAACTACCCTCTAAATCCTAGGAAATAAGTGATGGTTACAACAGTTTTAAACGCTGTCATTAGCTAAGAGCTGAATTTATCTATCGGATAAATTTATCAAAAGGTAGTAAAAGTGGGCCTAAGACAGTTCGTTTGAGTGTATAAATCTTGCTTTTTCGATAGTTTCTTGTCTGCTTTCACATAGCACGCATGTGCCTAAATAAATAATGTAAATGGTGTTTAAGATTCATTTTTAAAAAATGTCCTTTTATGAATGTCGCCAATCTTACGCATTTATCAATAAATGTATTCCAATAAATCTTCGTCTTGTATCAACGGAATCTTAAACACAATATTAATATTAATAAATTACCCATCGCTCCTGTTTCTTTTTTGTTCCTTTATACATTTATTGTTCTGTTCCATTCTTGTGTTTAAAAGAAGTACACGGTTGGCGATTGTTATGCAAAAGTACGAAATTATGTAAACCGGTTTTCTGCTCCCACTTGGGCATAATTTTTCGCATCCGAAGTTATCGATCGCTGTCACTTTAACCTGAATAATCTGATTTAATAATAAGTTAGAAAATGGAAAATTAAAGTTGTCTAAATGGTTAAACATAAATGGAATGTTTAATTATACATGAACATGTATCCATTGTTGAAATGAAAATTTTGTAAAACAACAATAAAGACCACAAGTTTAAAGAGAACCGCCAAATTGGAATCTAGAAAATGTTAGTGGTCTGTGGTCGTGGAAAATTCACGAATAGTTGAGAATGAGATTGCAGCTACTGTGACCAAAACACAACGTTGCTCTCAAGAGATTCAAGAGAAACTCGTTGGAAACCTTAAAAATGCAGACGTTGAATGAACCTTTGAAAATACAATTCGCCAAGTGAATGAATGAAATTATTTTCGTAAGAAATTTGACACTTACAAACCTTTGAAACTAAAATGATTGTTCGAAACGTTTAAGATCAACTTGAATGACCTGATTTTCACTATGAAGAATATAATTTATAGGCGTACAAACTTTCCTGACAAGAACACGGCGGAGGTTCATAAATATTCATCAATTTATTGTTCGGTAAATATCAAGTTTGTTCACACTTTAAAAGACATTATGTAGATACAACTTGTACAGCTGTAACGATAACAGAATTTAAAGTTTCAACCTGAACTTCGATATAGTTACAGTCTTTAAATAATTTAGCAAAACTTCTTATGTAATCGAACAAATAGACATTTACAATCGTAACGAACATGGAAGTTGTTGTTTGCTTTCAAATAGAGTGTGAACACAACGTGAGTAAATTCAAACGCCAGCGTGGTTTCGTTCAATGCCAAATAAACCGTTGTAACTAATTACAAGAATTCGTTGATGAAACAAAACACCGATAGTTTTAGGGCTTCCTTTTTTCGGACAATCTTTTTTCCTCCTAATTTGTCATGTCATGAAGGACGCACAGTCGAGACTGATTGACCTTTTCCTAAATCAATTATCTATAGAAATCTATTGACGCAAATGTTTCATTCGAACTAATTAGTATTCGTTTGGTTTATGAAGGATTTCTTTATATAATATTTTTTAGTAGCCATTATATCTATATCAGTACCGTTAGGAACTTGTATCGTGTGCGGTTTATTTTTTATTTTTACTACCTGCCTTCCTCATCGTGGAAAATAGCTCGAGATAATCGTAAAATACGATTTTCTGACACTTCTATTAAACTATAAAAGTAATAATGGGATTGAATGAATGGATCTTAAAATGAAATGGCTATAAATACTTTCTACTCATTAGATCAAATAAAATGAAATAATTTTTAAAATTAATCAGTTATTGAAACGAAGAGTAAAATTAATAAGCAAAATAATCAATATTGTTTCGGCATTTTTTCTCCATCGCAGATTAAAAGAGGGCAGAATTAACAAAGATATAATTCCATGGGAAAAATTGATAACAGAGTTATAAACTTTGATTGTAATGCATTTTCATCAATTATTTCCCCTACCATTTTTCGTTATTACTTCTCTCACTCTCCAAATAATACCAGATAATCATTTATACAGATAGTAAACGAGCTTTCATTAAAGTCTACCAAACGTGAGTGTAAAAACCAAAATTGTAGTGTTACTTTTAACGTGAACTTACTTTAAGGTGGTTGTTATTGTTATGATGAGAGCAATGCAATGTTCTTTTAAATTAGTAAGTAACTTTAATAGTTTTTGCACAATATGTGGTGAAAAATACAAAAATGTGTATTAAGCTTTATGGAGCATTATTAATCTAAACGCGAAAAAGTTGTTATGTATCAAATTGTTTATAATAATTATCTACTTAAAAAAATTTATAAACAAAAGAATTTATCAATAAATATAACTTATTAATTATATCTCAAATATTTGATCTGCAAGTTAATAAATGCTCCAATCGCTTTATCAGTTTATTATCAATCTGCACTACATAAACATGGGTAACAAACAAACCATAGATATTCTATTTTCAAATTTTAATTTGCAATTTCCATCGAAAATTTGATTTTCTAGATTTAAATTAGCGTCGTTGTGTTCACTGATGGAATCTGCTCCCTATTTAAATCATTTCCTCCAAGAACTTGAATGACATTCCAAGATATGTTGTGTGGGTGTAGAAAATTCTCAAGTTTAATATTTGTGTGTTGGATGAAATTAAAAGGGGGCGTAAAGTGCATTTAAAATGAGCCCGTTCACATCGCATTTCGATAATAAAGCCACCGAAGAGTTTTTAATCATTTTAACAAGTTCGAGTCAGAGGCGTTGGAGCATAATGTAGTCAACAACTCGTTTTGACGTCATTTTGCGGATTACGTAGTTACCTTAGTTGAACATTAAATAAAATAATTGAGTTTTAAATATTAGGTAAAATATAAAATAAAAAAGAATGGTGTAGCTTAAAAAGATAAAATCATATACTTAGTAGATACATTACATTTTACATCTCGTTATTTTATTACCTATTATTAAACACGTCTATAAAACGTGGAAACTAAATTTAGCACTTCAACTTTACGTTTTCGAATCCTGAAACCGTGAAGAGTTTTCACATTTGATGAGGGTGTTGTAGTGATACGTAAATGTAACAGCAGCAGTCGTGACGACCAAAGCCGTTATAAATCGACCGACTTTATCAGTTTACTACAGCATTAGTCGATTAACAACAAAGGGCTGGGTTTTGAAATCGTTGGATATCCGGATTTCAGACCTTAAATCTAATTTCTATTTGATACCCGTTTTGGAGCATCTGAACCAAACTTATTCCACAATAAATTAATCTATTACTAACACCCCAGTTGTATCCATTGTTGAAAGGCAATTGTAATAATTGACGATGTGCAGGCAAGGCGTCAATTGATTAAAGATAAATCAATTTATGTTCACCCTGTTTACGATTTATGTTTAATGTAAATGCTTTATTAATTTTAATTGGGACACAATATACAAATCAAGTTCATAATACTGTTTAATTTGTATTCTCCCCTAAATATTGATTGCAACTTGGGCAATAATGAACCGTTTTTTGGCAGGAACTGCATACGTATGGAATCCATACAAGTGGCCATAATCTAAAAATTAAAATGTTAAGTAATCCATAGTTTCTTTTTTATTAAAACTGACATAACACAACACAAAATTAGTGCTATAATGTGAGTTGTTGTCGTTGGTTTTGATTTAATAATCGTAAAACCTTGCACTCCACAATTTGTACACCTTGCATATTGACTATCAGTACCAAAAGCGGGCTGAGCTTCAATCACTTGAACTAAAAATTAATTAAAAATTGATTTATGTCCTATTTACATGTACTAAAATATTTACTTGTCGTGACTCCACTTGGTGGTGATGTAACTACATAAAAGTTAAAAAGTGGTTATTAATTAGGAATAATTAAATCAAAAGATATGATTAAAATGCTTTAACATTACCTGGTGGTGGTGGATATGGTGGGTAAATATGCGGTATATTTGAATTTGGAACTAAAAACATAAATCTGTTAATAATAATATAGAGAGTAAACAGATTTGAATATATAATCTCTATTAAACGATTATATTGAAGAATAACAAAATATATATGTTTCCGGGATATGTAGCGAGTAATATTAACATCGGCTTAAAAAAGAACTCCCCTGAATGAGGGTACTTACTGAAATTGATGGCTACACATGACCTAAAACTGTGCTTTTAAGCCATCGAAAGTCACGGAAAGAAGTAGCAATTGCATTGACAATATATTTCCGGACGAAAACACACGGGTTTTTGCGACTATAATAATAAATCTGCCCTTGTCCGATGTCTTTCGACAGATAATGTTAACAAAAAGATCAAATGAAAAGAAAAGCTACAGAAACTTCCTTGTTTTAGTAAATTTTTTTTAATGATATATAGTAATCTAGTAAACTGATGAATTATTTGTTTCTAACTTAATCTACTACGACTACATAACAAACTTATTCTACGATAGTCGAATTGGTTCGATTCGGCCATTCTTACATACACTACATTCATGTGCACTAGATTTGTATCACTTTCGTTATCACTTTCACTATACCAATTCAATTAGTTTCACTTTCAATCTTCTAACTAAGCCTTTGTTATCCAAATAGTCCGAACTAGTCATATATCCAGAGAGTCTCGATATAGTGTTCGTGTATCCTAGCATATTTTTTGATAACGTTGTCGACAGCTTCACTTTTAGGTCTTTGACATGGAGCGTTAACAATTACTCTGCGTACTTTATTCTAAAACCTTCAACATTTGTGAAATTTGTCAATATCAGACGTCAACATTTGAGAACTTGTTGATAAAGCTTGTTATATACTATCAGGGCTCCATGTATGCCTAATAGACAATACATTATAAGTACGAAGGCTTTCACAGCCGGTGTTAATTAAACTAAAACTAGAACTAACACTTCGAACACTAACTTCGAACTTGTTTCTGAAGAAGGTTGCAACATGGCATCCTTAACGTCAAACATTTTTTCAAAAAACGCATGGCTTAACCCGAAAGTTTCTAGTTCTAGGTCTAGTGTTAGTTCTAGTGATAGTGGTAGTGTTAGTTCTAGTTTTAGTTCAATTAGGCAATACATTTTTTGTACTTAATTCTTAGTTATTAATATTATTTTTTGACTTGTGATTTCCACCTGAGTTTAGCATGCCAAGATAGTTAGTTATATTTTCGTAGAAAATTACTTATTGATAAATATCTAGTATATATTTATCATGTGTTCAATCCGTTTTTTAGTAAAATCGATAACAGTTTTCTCAAGTTAGAGTAGGCATCATCTTGTTCGATCCTGAAATAACGTTCAAATAAGTAGGGTTCTAGGATTTTTGAATATTGGTCAGGAAGAAGTGTTTCAAACTTGTGGTTCAACCCTTCTTCAAGCTATGCTTTGTCGTAAGTGAAAACCAGAATTATTGCTGAGCAAACCTTCTTTTTATAGATTGATTTTTGAGCCCAAATTGATGATCCGGGTTGATATGTTATTCTTTGATGATTGACCTTAATCTTTCAAGTAATGGTTTTTCAAATAGTTTTTTCAGACATTATTTGCAATAGTGATGTAGGCCGATAAGATAAGAAACTTTCTTTGGGTTAATATTGGTCTTGATTTCCTATCATTAATATCTTCCAGCTGGAGGGGCGAGTGTTATTATTTTGCTTTCCTGGATTAGGTTGAAACATCTTTCCAGATGATCTTCAAGCCTTTTGTAAGTTATTTCTAGCCCAGCAACTGTCTTCATTTCTGATCGGAGGTGTTTGTATGATATGTGTCTAGATTTTTGGTGAATTTCCATAGCAAATATTCGGTGCTGAAGTCATTAATAAGTTCATATAGAACTTCACTGATGTGTCATCTCTAAGTTTTTAATTTCATTTTTCAGTTGATATGTAAGATTGTTCACTTTTGCTTTGTCTTGTGGGGCCCTCGACAGCTGAGTTCTTTCTCGCCCTTTTCTTTGATATCAGTTGTAGTTATTTCTTTTTAGATTTTTCCTCATTTTTCTGATATTTTGCCATGCTGAGTATTAAAGATCTTTGATCAGTTTCTCCACCACAAAATCAACTTGTTCTTCAGTGCGACTGCCAGGGTATTTTTTGTTCTAACGTTAATTTGAACGCATTCCTAATCATTTTCTTTTGCTTGACCAGAAGAGTTTAGCTCAAGGTATATATGCGTATACATTGCTTGAAACGATTTTGATGATGTAAAAATCTATCCGATCTGGGATCTTACCGGGGTATGTTGGCCAATACGTAGGTTTGCCTATTGAGATAGGTTTACAATCTTTAGCAATTCTCTCTACCTCTGGTGTATCACCACCTACGATGAATCGATTACTAATGGGTTGTACGAACTACTCATATCATCCACATTTGATACTATTTTTTGTAGGACTATATAAACTGACCACAAGTATACTACCATTTTTGGTTTTGATAGTTACAGCTGTGGTTTCAATACATTTTGCCTCTGTTTTAGTATCTTCAAAATGATAAATATTTTCTTTAATTATTACTGCACTTACCTTAATAGGAGTCAATCATCTAAAACTATCGATTTAAAATACTTTCAAGATGACCATCACATTTGATCAAACGGAAGTGTTTATTATACCTTTTAATTATACGCAAAAAAGTATAGTGACATTGATAAAAGTTATTGATACCTAGCGTTTTTCGTTTTGGTTTTATGTTCTTTTTGGTAAAATTTTACCAGGCGCTTTAAAACCCTATCTCTCAGGCAATGTTCATTGAAAAAAGTTTTAAATTGGCACGATTACTATTCAGATGCTAACAAATAGATTGTCATTCCTTGTATCAGAGTATCTTACACATGCTGGTCAAAATTTGAATTACCGATTCTCCACATTCAATGGCAAAAAAAATTTCTACTCTACTACCTACAATTTCAGTTATTTCATGTTTTTATCGATTTTCTCGTCGTTGGCGAATGTTATCATGAATATGTTTAACGGTGTTTTTTCCTTCCATGATATTTTATTGTTAATTAACATGCCCATTGTTAACCAAAAATGTCTTGATATTCATATTTTCGTATAGGTATGCGGAAAGTTTATTCCCTTGACACTCAATATCTCTTACAGACTTCAGAATTGACACAATTAACTTTTGCTGTAGTAGTCTTCCTTAAACTTGTCTTTTGGCGTCTCACAGAATTCTTCATACAATTTTATTTCATGTATAATGGTAAGTGGTGTAGATTTCTCATTTTTATTTTTTCTACGTATAGTTTTTTAGAGGCACTTTTAATTACGTAATAATCACTTTTCTTTGACTCTTAAATCGATTGAGTGGAAAACATTCCCGTTGTTAAACGCAAAATTACTCTATGTTAAGTGAAATAATTACTTCCTTAATAAGAATTACAGAATAAATTGCAATTTAAAATAACTCCTAGATCGAAACGAAATTGAAAATGAACAAGAAATTTGGTCTTTTTTTTGCAAGTTGCGGATAGAAAACGTTAACAAAAATAAGAAAAGAAGAAGGTTTGAAATCGAAAGCAGGTGATTTCAACAAACTCAACTGTCTCCCAGTAAGCTTGTTATTGTCACCGACGTCGACTGAAATTCAATGCTTTAGAAAACGGAATTTCAATTTTGTTACTTCAAATCAATAATTTAAAACATGAAATATTCACCATAATGAAAAGTAAGGTATATTTTCTAAAACGTTAAAAGTTATTAGTTTTATTTACTTATTATTATTATTAGCTTTCGATTTATTAAATCCTTCTTCTAGATAAAATATCTTTCTAAAATTGAAATAATTTTTTGTTCTAACGGTGTTAATAAAGAAGCGGGAATACAATTTCTTCAATTTTGTGTTGTAAATCTTTAGGATGACCTAGTGCAATATTAATTAAGAGAAGAGCCCTAAAGAACATTTCTCTCCTTTCCCCATTATATCTCCTTTTTTTTTGTCGTCTCCGTTTGACATCTAGCACGAAAAGTTATAAACCGTTTATTGAAAAATTTTGCTGTAACTCTTAAAGCTTACTCTTTTAAACGAACCTGAAAATTTTGATTTCTTAATTAATAAGTTGAATATAATAAGTTTTTATTTTTATCCGAAATAAGTTGAACTCGGCTGTAATCATGATCTGGTTAGGAGAATGGAACTAAAAGACGTTTGGATATGTCTGTTAATTGAGGTTGTTAAGATTATCTATGGCTTGCAACTCATATACCAATAGGGTTAGTGTTCATAAAGATGCCAATAATTTCGTTTATAAAGGGACATCCTTTATCTCGAACAATTTTTGAAATGTAAAGATAGTATTACCGTTGTTTTGTGAAAACCTCAGTATTAAGAAAAATCGTTTCAGTTACTAGTTGACACCTTTGCTTATGAGGTTATGAATCCTCTATTCACAATATCTTTGGTAGAATGTGTGTGGAGTAGAGACTCCACACACACTCTACCATAGATATTTGCTTGGATCAACATAATGCTTGACGTAGATTTTATTGGTGTATCTCGGTATATATTTGTACATACCTACTATTCGTGCCAAAAGTCAAGGCCCGTCAGTTTAAAGATCGATATCTTCGCAGCCGTTCGATGAAAAAAATTGCGGTAAAGTTTGTTGTAATCACTGAACATTTCTACGTAACATATGTGAATTTGAAAATTTTCTGACCAATCCGGCTGCTAAGCGATTCAGACAGGACGTCGCGCCTTCATTTTTCCTACACAAAGAAATAAAGACGCGACGTCCAGCCTGGAACACACACCAGCACCATCTTTTCCGATTGAACGGAACCCTTCTCTCCCCGCATGGCTAATTTTTGTTTCTCTATTCGTTGAAATCGTTCTAAGAAATTAGAGATAATATTGATTATAACAAACTTATTGCAATTTTTTTTCATCTTTTTCTCGCATAGGAATATAATTAATGTGAGTTCACATAGGAGCAAGGCACTACACAGACAAGTTAGGTATTTTTCAAGAATGTATAATTTTTAAACATTTTTCAAAGGAGTATCTAGTGCCGGATTATCCAATAGGTAATACAGTTGCATAGGGCCCTAGGGTTGGTAGGAGATTCAATTAATAACTTAATAATATATGTGCTTAATATTCGAACATGGAAACCTGACTCAATTTTTACCTAGCGCCCTAGTTATCGTTAATCCGACACTGGGTGTATCAATTAATTAAGCCGAGGTCGCTGCATTGAAACAATATCGATGTGTATACATGCAAAACTGCAAAATGTTAAGGACATATAACTTAATTAACTCGAGGTCACTTGCCGCCAAAGTCCGCTACGTCGACATCATATCGATACAAAACTTGGAGATCGATACAAAAGTCGCAAGTGTCTCGTCTGTCGTATGTTACAACGCAAAAGAGAAGATTTCCCCATGAAAAATCTCAAATTATTGGCCAATATTTTCATATATTCAATAATAGCTTTTCTACTAATAACTTCTACTATATATATCGAAGGTTCCTAATTAGCCGACTTCTCCGATTAACCCACTACAGACTTATTTAAACCACCCTGATTTTCCGAAAATTTGAGAATGAGAATGATGTTAAAAAAGGGCAAAGACGAGATTTAGATATATCGAGACAATGTATAGGAAGAAGATCGAGCACGATATTGCAAACAGCCACCTACAGATAATATTGTGGGAAGATGTTGAGAAATATTAAGGGATGTTTTGAGAAGAACCAGGAATAAATTGTTTCTAACCTTAATAGTCCAACTGAATAAGTTTAATTAAAAAAAATTATAACCAAACAATTAACAGTGGTAGGGTTTTCAATAGCGGGATTTGCAATTAACAATGTGACTATTTTCTTTATCAATGTTCAAAGTTCATAACGATTGTGCTAGAAATCGATTTTTAACGATTTAGATAAATTGTAATAACTGTTAATCCTGTATTTAAAACACTTTATCTGCGAAATTAAATGAGATTTTCTAAATTGGGCTTCACCATGATAACCATCTCTATATACCTTAAAAATATTATTACGATATTGTAGCGTGCATTTTCATTGGTAATAAAGTATTGTATACTCTAAAATAAATACTCGAAATAAATGTAAGAAATAAAAAAGAATATGAAATGGATTTTTGAAGAAATTTTCGATTAAAAAACAATATATATCAGAATGAATTTGAAATTGACACATCATGATGAAACAAAAAGATTACTAATCTGCATATTTAAATGTCTTAAGATTTATACTTAAGATAACAACCTTAAAATCGCATCTCAAGAGTGCATTGTAATCAAATAAAGAACATTTAGAAGTAAATTTAATGAAAATTTGGTGAATTTTTAAACTTAATCTAAAAAAACATTTATTATTCACCTAGATAGTCTTTTTATGTTGAGTTCGAATATTTTTTTCTAGGTTACGTGTAGAATAAGAAAAACTAAATTTGAAGTATTTATTTAGAAGTTTCAAGTCATTTTAATGGTGAAAAACGATTTTGATTATCTCGATTTATTTTTGAATAACCAAACTTTAAAGTTTAACCGATTAACATTTTTTTGGTGATGATTTTAATTTTGGTTTTCTAATCTGAGTTACATAAAAATTTATAAAAACTAAACTTGAAGTATTTTTATATACAATTCTCTATCATTGTAATAGCGAAAACTGATTTTAGATATGTCGATTTATTCTTGAGAAATCACTCTTTAAAGTTAACCGGTTTAGGGATAAATTAAAAGTTTCATTATTATTAAATCACAAATAAGTCTGAAGATACTATCAAAATATGCTTATGTAAAACGATTTTGTAAACTTTTGGGCTCTATTTTACAGCTTGATAATAAACCAGTGATAACCCGTTATTGAATAATTTCTTATTATTATCAATTCCTTGTGATTTGTGAGATAAAAGGAGATCTCAGAAATCGCAAGAATATTGACATTATCTGATAAGAATTTTTTATTTACTACATTTGTCATTCAAAACAATGTTATATATATTTTAAAATATTCTTATTTTATTGTATCGTCACCATCTATAATTAGCAAACCAAATTACTCCATTTTNAATGGTGAAAAACGATTTTGATTATCTCGATTTATTTTTGAATAACCAAACTTTAAAGTTTAACCGATTAACATTTTTTTGGTGATGATTTTAATTTTGGTTTTCTAATCTGAGTTACATAAAAATTTATAAAAACTAAACTTGAAGTATTTTTATATACAATTCTCTATCATTGTAATAGCGAAAACTGATTTTAGATATGTCGATTTATTCTTGAGAAATCACTCTTTAAAGTTAACCGGTTTAGGGATAAATTAAAAGTTTCATTATTATTAAATCACAAATAAGTCTGAAGATACTATCAAAATATGCTTATGTAAAACGATTTTGTAAACTTTTGGGCTCTATTTTACAGCTTGATAATAAATCAGTGATAACCCGTTATTGAATAATTTCTTATTATTATCAATTCCTTGTGATTTGTGAGATAAAAGGAGATCTCAGAAATCGCAAGAATATTGACATTATCTGATAAGAATTTTTTATTTACTACATTTGTCATTCAAAACAATGTTATATATATTTTGAAATATTCTTATTTTATTGTATCGTCACCATCTATAATTAGTAATTAGCAAACCAAATTACTCCATTTTTGGGATAGTTTTTATTTTGCCATAATTAAAATTTGACCAATAATGGTGTTAAGAGGTTTGATTGATGGTGACGTTATTAATATCTTATGTTCACCTGGATGCACAGCTTCTATAGGATAAGAAGTTGAAGGCTGTTGATTCGCTAATGGATGTGGAACTAGAAAAGTAAATAATAAAGTTATAATTAATCTTCCATATACATATAAGGGAGACCACAAAGTAATCATATCGATACTCTAATTTTGTTTGAATTTGATAGAAAGAATTTGATAGTTGTTTAAAACGTTATCTTATTATTAATAGCGATACTTTAATCTTTATGTAGAAATTTCTAGCAAAAAATGGATGACAATAGAGAATACAAAGGATTTGTTGAAGTTGATTAAATTCAAGCATCTTTTGACCTTAACACTCCAGTAATTGCTCCTTCTGTTAGTATAGGTATATTGAATAATTTCTTATTATCAAAGTTATAACTTTAAATTTTTAACTTATTTAACTTATATTATCAAAAATTACCGATTCACAACTTTTTAGGGATGAATTCAAAGTTTCGTTATTATTAAGTCACAAATAAGACTGAAGATATTATCAACATATGCTTATGTAAAACGATTTTGTAAACTTTTGGACTCTATTTTACAGCTTGATAATAAACCAGTGATAACCCATTATGGAATAATTTCTTATTATTAACAATTCCTTGCGATTTGTGAGATAAAAGGAGAACTCACAAATCGCAAGGATATTGACATTATCTAACAAGAATTTTTATTTAGTATATTTGTCATTCAAAACAATGTTAGATATATTCTGAAATATTCTTATTGTATCGTCACCATCTATAATTAGCAAACCAAATTACTCCATTTTTGGGACCGATTTTATTTTGCCATAACTAAAATTTGACCAATAATGGTGTTACGAGGTTTGATTGATAGTGACGTTATTAATATCTTATGTTCACCTGGATGTACAGCTACTGTAGGATAAGAAGTTGAGGGCTGTTGATTCGCTAATGGATGTGGAACTAGAAAAGTAAATAATAAAGTTATAATTCATCTTCTTCATCTTCCATATNTAATTTTTTTTTGTAAAAGCCGTATCTCGGAAAATAAATGAGTATTGGACCTATGTGTATTAGGATTTTTTTCTGCATATCGGCGTATTCCGCAAATGTAAATTGAACCATTGCGAAAATAAGCTAGCTTAAATAAGAATAAGTCACAAAATGTTTATTGACATGCAGTTTCTGCGGCTGTTGTTTTATCGTGTTAATGGTAACGCGATATCGTATTCAAATTTAAAGCTGACAATGACAATTTAAAAATTCCATATCTCGAAAACCAATGAGTATTGGACCTATGTGTATTAGGATTTTTTTCTTGTTTTTATCTCTACTATCACCTGCCAGCGTGTGTAAAGTTTGTTTATTAACACCCTGTATACAGTGCGTTTGATTTTAGTTGTCACAACAGATATCTCGACTATTGTTGGAGATATGACAAAATGTTATAAAAGCAAAGTTGCTTAATATTGCACACACAATATTTTATCATTTCTTCATTGTGGGGTTTTCTTCCTTGACAGCACTCTTGATGTAGTCTTCTGGTGTTCGGTACTTCTACTCCTAAATAAGTGCGATTTATATTTTGTGTGATTGGTTTATCATACACTCCCAATTTACATCTAATGGATCCTTTGTTATTACCTTTCATTCTGTTTTGCTTACTGATATTAACTTGTTAAATTATTTAGACGTTTGAAATTTATATAGCTGTCACTGTGGATTATTTTCATTTTCTGCCATTAGTATGTCTTCGTGAGTGAAGTAGGTATAGTATTTTTATTGCTTTATTACGGATTCTGCAACCTCCTTCCACCTGTTTAATACTGCATATGGTTTTCAATACAATATGAAAGAGAGCTGGATCCAGACTGTCCCTGGCAGATTCCTGTCTGTACAAGTACTTCTCTTGTGAGTTCATTATTTGTTCTAATGAATGAAATGAAACTCTTAAAATATGGAAGGAGAACACTAGCTGATCAACTAAGAAAACTATTTAACAAAATCCTCACCTCCAGGCATGTGCCAAAGTATTGAAAGCAGAGTACAAGTATTATCCTCACAAGAAGGCAAAGCTAGATGACCGTAACAAGTACCTATGTGTATCGTTACTGGACACTACCATGAAGCTATTCACAAAGCTTCTAGCTGACAATATCACCGAACAAGTGCCCACACGAGAGAAACATCAAGGGTTCCGAAAGAACCAGTCCACAACCGACTTCATTTTAACCGTTCATAAAATCGCCGGAATTCAATAAACTAACATATTGTTGTTATGTTCGCGGCTTTCCGACATACTGAAAGTCCTCATTGCAAAAAACGTATACCTACCCGAACATCATAGAAACGATCAAACAACCAAACACAGATAACAAGACAAAACTAAGAACCCCGAACGGGGAATAGTCAGAAGGTAACATCAAAGCCGGAATCTGACAGGGTGACAGTTCCAGTCCATAACTGTTTAACGTGCTAATGGATAGTATAGACAATGGCCTAGATGGAATAAATGACGAATCTATGCTGGGAGGAACAATAATAAAGATTGTGTGTTATGCAGACGACGCCATCATCATAGCAGAGTCGGTGGATGAACTACAACGACTTCTAAACGCATTCAATGAAGGGAATGTGACAAGGTAAACATTAAAATCGCGACCAATAGAACGAAAAGCATGGTCATCGCAAAGTCACCCATTAGATGCAAAAATGTAGTGCAAAAGCAGATCATTGAGCAGGTGTTCCAATTTGAATATCTCGGAATACAAATCAATGGATATAAGGAACTAAAGGGCAGAGTCACAAAGTAAGTCATAAAGGCAACAAGAATATTAGTGCACTTTGCAACCCAATATAGAGAAATGAACATCTATCAATAGCAAGCAAGACCAGAATATGCCAGGCATCCTTACGTATACGGCGGAAGCAAGAGCCGACACAGCTGAGACAAAGAGGCGACTGAGAATAATTGAAATGAAAACGCTACGCACAATATCCGGATGTACTCTAATCTAATGGGTCGTAACAGAAACACAGAAATCAGACCCGACATAGTAACAAGAAGTAGCAAGAATGAATCAGTTGTGCCTAGCAAATTGTACAAGAGATGGCGAAGCATGCACAAAAACTGATAGGAAGACCTTCAAAGCTATGGAAAGACAGCTTGACCGGCGTCATAACTGGTCATAATGTTTCAATAAGAAGAAGAAGTGAGCGAGTAGAAAATCTTTTCTATCGTGTAAGTACAAAGGCTTTGACGATCGGTGTTAATTAAACTAAAATTAGACCTCTAAGAAATCCACTTCAAACTTGTTTCTGAAGAAGGTTGCAACATCACATCCGATAATGCTAGTGTTAGTTCTAGTTTTAAATCTATTACAAAAAAGACAAATTAAGTATACAGGATCAGTCAAAAAGTTATGACGAAACAAAATTACGTTTTCTTTAATGGAACATCCTGTATATTATTCCATATTTCAGTTCATCTCAAAATTCTAAACGAAATTCATATAGCACATCATAGACCTAAACTTAACCGTTTTCCAGATATCGAACTTTCAAAAATTTACGAATTTATCTATACAATTTATCTTCGTGCGCAAATTATTCAAACTATTTTTGTATTTTTGACATGTGTTAAGTCACTGCGTTGCTATGGAGATGAGAAACTTTCAAAGGTAACTTGATGAATTATGAACCTAAACGACTAAAATATTTTTAAGTAATTTATAAGACTGATTTTCAAAGTTCAATATCTTGAAAACGGTTCAGTTTAGGTTTATAATGTGTTACATGAATTTTGTTTAGAATTTCGAGATAAACCGAAATATGGAATAATATACAAAGTGTTCCATTAAAAAAAACATGACTTTGTTTCGTCATAACTTCTTGATTGACCCTGCATATTTAATTTGTATTTATTGTAATGGATTTTAAAAAACACTAATACTTTTATATCTTAATATTTTTTGGTAGCTATCTTACTTTAGGAGATAAGCGACCGTTTCCATACATAACAGCGACCTGTATATGAATTTAATCAGCAAGTTTCAAAAGCATTCGAGATACAATTTTATGAAGTTCATGAATTCGCCAATAAAAAATAAAATGTGTTGAACAATGAATTAAAGTCAATAAAGACTGCTTTGACTTATAATGTTAAGCTTTAATTTGAAACAAATAATTACTTAAATTTTTATAAAAGTATTTCGATTTCCTTTGGGCCCCTCGTATCACTTACAATTATTGACGTCTTTAGGATGTTCTGAATACGGTGGCGGATAAGGTCTGTTATCTTCACTAGGATAAGGTGGGTCCATCTGTAATTAGTGTTTAAATAATTCGAGGAAATTTATTTTTAGATTACTGAGTAATAACAATTATAACGATAACATTTAAAGGTAGATTGAATATTTAAAAACATGTTTATTGGTTTTATTAATTTAATCTTAACGTGTAGGTTTGAAGTACAAAAGTAATTTTAAAAGTTGTTTAATGTAAATAATAACTTGTACTTAATGGAAGAGAGTCTTTCAATATACAGGTGTTTCTGTAAATCGAGTTGTGGCATAATTTTAATCACAAATACTGCAGTTAAAATGATGGCGATTCGTGCAAAAATTTTTGATCTAAACCCATAAATGCTTCAGATATAAACCATCAATGTTAAAAAATTTTTAAACATTTTCAATAGGAAGAGTTATCCATGTTGCAAGATTAATGATCAAATAAAAACCATATATTAACTTTTAACTTGCATTTATTTATATAAAGTCATCATCAGCGACAAAGTCAATGAAGCTATAATAGGTGTAGACTGGAAATCATGTGAAAGTAAAGCATTTTGCTATCTGATGGATAAACAAAATGAGGATGAAAAATGAAATAAGAATGATGTCGTTAAAAAGTGTGGAATGTTAAAAAATTAGAAATTCGAATAAATCTTTAAGATCGTATTAAAGATGTGTTGGTGGGATGAGATGAGTCTCGCCTCATCTTATAGTGTTATAGAGTTAGAAGTTAATATATGGTTTTTATTTTCAATAGGGTTTGTCTTAGAAAGATAAAATTTGGCAAACAATGCAATGTTATCATGAGAAATCGTTTAAGATCTCTTTTGAAAGTATACGACCACGGCATAAATGCTATACAGGTGTCCACAAAGATTATTTTCTTAAACCTTTTTTATTATGTCGTAAATCCTTAAAATATCCAACATATTCTAAAAGCCTATTTCATTTTAAAATTATTTTCACTCTTAGACATTTTTGATTAGACGCATCGTTTTAGAGTTATTCGCAAAAACATACAACCTAAATACAAATTGTAACTGGAGCTGTAAAGCAACTGTCAAATCATTACCCAACATTCTTCAGTCGGTAATAGTTGTTTAAAATGACAAATAATTACAGTTTTAGTGTGCAAACTGATATGCTTTTAACGTTGGGAGAGTGTTTAGGCAGTGCTAAATATGGTGAGATGATATTGCAAATAACTGACGATACTTTTGATATCAACAGTTCGGAATATCCAAAAGTACGGCTTGGGGTGTACCATACGAACAGCAATTGTATCCATACCAATTGTCGACAGTACAAGAATTAAAAAATGCTGATCACCCGTTGCGACTACAGTTTTGCCATACTATGATGGAAAAATGTACTATTGATGCTGTGTGTTTAGAAAAAATACTTTTTATTGATGACCATTAACTTGACATATTGCTTTACTGCTTTAATAACTCTAAAACGATGAGTCTAATCAAAATTTTCTAAGGGTGAAAACAGTGTTGCCATATGTACGGTAATTACCGTACATGTACGATTCTGATTCTGATATAAGGGTACTAAAATTCAAATGAGCCTAACAAAAGGGTACATTGCCATTTAAAAATCTTCAAGTGTTATTCGTTTCTCATTTGTTTTCTGAATTAAAAACAATTGAATGCAGTCTTATTATGGCAAATAAAATATTAAACAACTTTTGTATAAAATGTTTTTTTATAAAGTTGATACCTACCAAGATATATACTATATTCCATACATAATGGGCACCCTGTATATCTCCTTCTATTATGCATTTGAAAGGATTTAACGATAAAGTATTCATGTAACTATGTATTTTGAACATGATGAACAAAAAATGTAAAAAAAAATACATTGACGTTGTCTTTGTGGCAAAAAAGTTATAAAAGACAAAAAATTTACTCATTAATTACTGATTTATAAGGCCGTATTTATATTCTGGGATGTATTAAGGGATATAAATGTATTATAAACAGGTTTTGAGTTATACATGAAGGTTTCGGATCATTTGAACATTTTTGAAAAATACAGGTCCGTAATGACATTTTTGTCGGAATCGATATTTTTTTCACCTTTTCAATATTTTCGGTTTTTCGTAAGTTTATGTATTATATTCAGTATATTCAAAGGCTTAACACGGCTAAACCTGTATTTTTGTAGTTCTAGGTCTAATGTTAGCTCCAATGACAGTGGTAGATACCGCTAGTTAACATAAGATATCACTATGTTACATAATTCTAATTGAACTAAAACTAACACTGGACTTAGAACTAGAAATTTCGGGTTTAGCTGTGCTTTTTCAGACGCACGGCTAAACACGAAACTAGCACTATCACTAGAACTAACACAAGGTTTAGAATCATTTGGATTTAGCCGTCTTGAGAGACGTGCGGCTAAATCCGAATGTTTTTAGTTCTCGGTCTAGTGTTAGTTCTAGTATTGCACTAGCATTATCACTTGAACTAACACAAGACCTAAAACTAAAATCATTCGGGTTTACCCGTCTTTACGTCTTAATTAAATATTTTTACTCTAGCAAAATGTGTGTTTTATTAAAAATAATGTAATACTTATTAATACGGACCTGATGTCAAAAAATTTATGACACGCGCCCGCTCGAAGGTTAAGAAAATACACATGGTAACAGGTGGCGTAAAATGCTGTAAAGACAAAAACCACAATATTTTCGTTGGTTATATTGGCGTATAATATTCTTGTGTATTCATGTCTCTTCTAATTCTGTGTTTAAATTTTATAATATTTCGCTCATGTTCGCTCTGTATCACAGGTGTCCCGAATATCAAAGTCACACAGGTACCGCGCGAGAAATAAAAATAAAAGGGATGAAATTCTCCATATTTCCATATTTCATAAGTTATTTTCCAAGAAATTTAAGGATTTAATTTGATTTTGTAAAAAAATTTTTTTAGAAGTATTTTATTTTTAAGAAAAATAACTACAATTCAGACCTATTTCCAACATATATTAAAAAAAAATTTTCCATTATTTTGTAATTATTTTTAAGTACTGAAGATGAAACATTTGTTTCGAAACATGTCTATTTATTGAAATAAATTAAGTATTTTGTTATTCGTGTATAATCATATAATATACATCACATAATGTAAGTATTATCGTGTAACAGTTAACGTGTAAAACATTTCGTTAATTATTATCTGAAGTTGTTATTTTCATAAAATTTTGACCAAGTCTTTGAAGATGCCGTTATAGGCGAAACTAGTAAGACAAATTAAATTATACAATAATCCCGTTCTTTAAATGTTACGCCAAATTAAAACAATAAAAAAAATCCATCTCTTCGTTAAATGATAATAGACATATTTTTGAAAATGTTAAAAATCATCTCTTTAGCTACTACGGCCAGAAAGGTTCGCAATTTAATAATGACAATAGTGAAAAAAAATTTAGTTTGATTGAGTTAAGGTTGAAAAAACTTATGTTCACTAAGTTTGACACACCATTTCTAAAAAAGGAGTAATACTTAGCAAGTAATTTTAAAAGATGACCTGTTTAGTCAAGATTCCAAAATGGTAAAATAATATCATCGGTAAATAAAAATATTATTGCCTGTTTTTTTGGAAAAAAACACGTTATTTAAAAATTTTATACTTTCGTATGTTATTTGTATTTTCTCCAAAATACTCAATATCTACCGAGAAATGTGGATTTAACAAGATGGTAAAAAACTATTAGTTATTTTGTTATACTTAAAATAACTTTTTACCTATTTGTTTGCACAGTTCATTTTATAGAATTAATTTGGCAAAACCTTTTATATCACTATCATTTTTAGTACAAGTAAGGTATTTTTACATAAAATACGGTTATCTTCATTTTCAAGTAAGGTACTACAGCCTCCACTGTGTGGCAACACTGGGTGAAAATAATATTAAAATCAAATACGCTTTTAGAATCAGTTGGAAATTTTAAGGATTTACGACATAATAAAAAAGTTTTAAGGAAATACCCTTTGTGGACACTGTAAAATATTTATCCCGTGGTTGTATACTTTCAAAAGAGATCTTAAACGATTTCTCATGATAACATTGCATTGTTTGCCAAATTTTATCTTTCTAAGACCAACCACATTGAAAATGTTTAAACATTTCATAACTTTAAAGGCTCATATCTTAGGTTTAGACCAAAAATTTTTACACGAATCGTCATCATTTTAACTGTAGTGTTTATGATTAAAATTATGCCACGACTTACAGGAACACCTGTATATTTTTTATAAGTACGGTTTGTCTATAGTAAATTAATTATTATACCAAATATAAATTTACTTAAAAATAAACAGATTTTAATCTATCCACCGATTAAAATAACAATTAAAATTAACGTACCTCTTTGTGAGTTTCCATACTATTCTCTAACCACAATGAATATCTTTTGTACTGAATTTTCTCTCCGAAACAACACATCTGAAATCATATCCAGGATTTATTTTATCTGATAAGAACGGATATGCTTTTGTGTTGTTGATTAAACACCACACAGGATTATTTGTCCGATTTACACATTCAAAAAAAGTCCGAAATAAAATTATGTTTCTTTATTTGATTATATTTCTTTCTTACATAGTATATGAAAAATCTTTCTTATGGATCACAAACGTTTAAAATACATTCTCATAAACCTTGACGTACAGTATATTTTAAATTATTTATTTCTTATCACTTTAAAATATGTTCATATATTTACTTTTGTTTACTTTTAATAATAGTATACTCCTATTTATCACCATATTACAATAATTAGTGCAACTTTTATTAAATATACTTTTACATATATCTATATTTAATCTCATTTTCGTTCTTGATTAATTTATTCTATTAATTTATCCACGATATTCTCCTATGTATGCATTGCAATTGGAGCAATAATGATGAATACTTTGACATGAATCGCATGCGTAGGGAATCCATGCACAGGGCCAGCATCTAAAAATTATTAATTAGTGTTAATTAATGTCATGAAGAAAAAATAAACCGCAATTGCTTTCATCTCTTGGTGTTTAAATAACGACAAATCAAAATATTTCATAATTTACATATTATATATTCGAAAATCAGATGCTGTGGATAATATCACAAATCCTTATGGAATAGTTTTGTTACCGAATATTACTATAAAAGCTACAAAATGGATTAATATCATTTCGGGCAGTTTATTATCATGGGATTTAATTTTATTGAATCTGTTTTGAAACAGCAAAATTTGTAATTAATATATTATTCTATAAACAACAATTGTATGGAATCACAGGATGTAATCTAATTTTAAAAATTTTTATCTTAACTTATCTTTCTCAGAATATGTACTTATAAATTTTAATACATTTTATGCTCAATAATCAATAAAAAATTCAGTAATATATGAATCACCCTATTTTAACGTATAAATATTTAGGTTCCTCAAATAGCTTTTATCTTAACCTCTCTATACACGCGTACGGACTATCAGTTCATGGAATTTAAATTTATAATTTCACACTCTTTTATTGGCCCTGAAGTTGGTCTGATGACGCACGGTTAAACCTCGAATGTTTCTAGATCTAGGTCTAGTTACTTGTTATCTAGCTAAAACTAGAACTAGAAACATTCTGCGGTAGCCGTCTTAAGAGGCGCACGGCTAAACTCGAATGTTTCTAGTTCTAGATCTAGCGTTAGTTCTGGTTTTAGTTGTTCCGCAAATATCTCAACTTATGATGCAAATGGCTTAAGTTATATGAATTTAATACAAAAAAGTAAATAATAAAATTTGGCAAATAAATTTTAAGTTTAATAACTTCTCCCTATGCCATTTTTGCCCGGGATTGTTTATGTGACTGTCTAAGGGCTGGAAGATTAATAATCATTTTACTTACACAAAACAGCACATTACTAACGCCATAGTATGAGTCATAGTATTTGGTTTAGCTTGTACAGTGGTCATACTTGTGACTCCGCAATGGGCACAATGAACCATCTGACTTGTGCTGTCAAGTTGCAGTGCTTGAACAACTGAAATGATAGTATTTTATAAGAATTGACAGAAAATAATATATCTATACAGATTTACCTGTTACACTTGCAGATGAAGGACCATCATTTGGGGGCACAAAACCTGTTAAATTTTATTTATTACATAAAAGAAAAAAAATATTCGTTACTAAGAAAGATCTTTATATTTAAGATTTTTTGATGTACTTACCAGGTGGAGGAGGTTGTTGTGGATAATGTATATTTGGTAGTGGATCTTCAGGTTTTGCTGTATATGGTGGTGGAGGAACTCTTTGGAAACCCTCATCGCCTTTCGCTGGTATGCCCTCCATCTACAATGAACAATTAATATATTTAAGTGAATATTCACTATTGTACACCAATCAAACTTCAATCATTACACATAATCTGTTTTGAAATCATAGTTGTGACAAATACATAAAGAAAAAAATATTTTTAACTAGAATCAAAATTTGACGTTAACCTCAAGTTTATTGCTGCCACTTGTACATTTATTAATCTAATTTGGTCCTATTTAGTTGTTATTTTGATTAACTAATGTCACAATCTGACGCGAGAATGTTACGTTTTCGAAATATCAAAAAAAAATGACTAGAAAAATGTTTGTACTAGATGCGGGGAGAGAAAAATTCATGTTGAGTGTAGAAAAAATAAGACATTTGCTTGTAACGGGTATAGATAAAAATTTTGTTTGTAGTCGAGATAATGCAATATCAAGTACAAAAAGAAATTGTATTAAATTTGTGTTTAATACAATTATAATTCTTAGATGCAACCTTTGCATCCCAATTAATAACGTGAATTGTATCGGGATAGATAACCGTATCAGATTATTCTGTGCCAATCTTTAATATGAGTTTGAGACTGATTTATCTTCAAAAACATCATTCGAGTCAACAGCATATTTATTTAAATTAACGTAAAAATCGGTCACTAATTAATAATTGGATAATAAATTGGGGTTGCAATTTATTATCTTTAACAAAAATGTGTTATCTTTGGAAATCCGACTTTTTCACACATAAAACATTCTAATATTATATTGAAAGTTCGTTCTCTTCAATCTCTAAAGAATTTGAGTTATTTTTTTTTAACCGAATATAAACAATTTCATATTTAAAAATCAATCTTAGTGAATCTGAAAAATATATAAAACTGACCTAAATTGATGCAAAAATTATATTAAGCGAAATGAAAGTAGTTCTTTCAACACGGCGGGTGAGAATAAACGAAACTAAGAATTACAATGGATAATACGAGAGAGGAAAAGCTGTGTAAAAATGATGGGTAAAAAAAAATTAAAATGTTAGTAAAATAACAAAGAATAATAATAAATAAACATGTAAGAGAGGTATAGTAGTAGAGTGAATAAAGTGCATAAATTTGTAAGGAAAAGGATTGATGGGAAAAGAATTGAAATCAGCAAAATAAAAATCGTTAGATTCATTATGGCGAAGATATAAAAAAGCGGAAGGTTCTAAAATAGATTTGAGAAAAATATTTGAGACCGACAATAGGATATAAAAGTAGATGAGAGACAAAAAATTATGTGAAGTGTTAACATATGAAACAGTATTTGCGGGCCTGAAATCATGAGATGTTTTAGATGTAATATTTTAAACAAAGTGGGATTGCTATAATTGAAGGTTATCGTGTGGTATATATTATATGGTATATTATAGTGGTAGCCAGAAGATATTAAAGATATTGCAGATGCATAGTAGGATGTTGTAATTATATGAAAACGGATTAACAGAAATTATTAAAAGTAGATGTGTTTGCAGAAAAATACTCTACATAGAAAACAAAGTGTGTTATCATTTCGGAAAATAATGTTACATAATGTTGCACACTATATAAAAGATTCATTCAATTTCAAAATGCTCTACACTCAAAACTAATCGTAACCGACAATAAATGTTTTCCACAGATCAATTCCATTCTGTCAATGCTCATCACTACACATAAATCCGTTCGCTCAGCTCCTCTAATGTGTGTAGTAGCATTTACATGAAAGTTGTTCATAATCTCCCCAAAGACCAAGAGTACAAACGACACTTACAGCACAATTCAGCAATGCGAAAGTTTATTGTTGAGATAGCTATGAACTTGAATATTCCAATAAGTAAGTGTCCTGTCCTGTTGGAAGACTAAACCCCTAGCATCAATAGGCAGTTATAAAAACAACAATAACTATAACATATATAATATATATAATCTATAATATATATGTAAAATGGGCCCTACATCTTTGCGGGTGCCACACCACAAAAATTATTCCTTTCGACGAATATCTTTCGATTGTCATAGTTGCATAATATAAGCTTCACGTTCCCAGATACACAGAACATAGCGGATCAACTTCTCGTCGAAATTGTCATTCTCCAAAGTGTAACACACAGTTTATGTATTGGTACAAGATTGCAGCTTGCTCGGCACATTGATTTCTGAGGTACACCCCACACTCTGCGCTGTTTTACTACCAGTTTTGCTTTTACACAAACAACCAGTGATCATGAGTTTCCGATACCGCTGCTTGAGACAGACAAACATTTTACAATTTTCTTCAAAACCCTTTTTTTGTATTGCCATCAATTTGAATGAATCATACGGATACTGAACTCGTGCTGCTAGTATACAATACAAATTTTGTGAGTTTGCGGCTAGTGTCATGTATCTTGTATATTTGTGTATGCAACACTTTTTATATACATATAGGTAACCATGACAAGCATTTAAATGTTTGATGAAACAGTTCTAAGCTATGGTAGACTTGGCCTAGATACCTATCTCTTTAGGTATTTTGTGTTCATTTGAATGCTAACAAGCATAAGAAGTGTATTAAGAAACACTAAGAGACCAGACACTAATTTCAAGCACTAACCACCAATCTCAAATGTTTGAAAGTAACACTTGAAAGTAGCCGTAAGGAACACAATTGCTTCTTTGCGATAAACTTGATGGTTTAATTTTGATGGGCAAATTAATCATTAAAATTGCAGTTAAATTATTTACATCATGTTCTTTGTGGTTTGTGATATAGAAAGAGAATGTTATTGCTTCCACATCTTCGGAGGCTAAACTGGCACGAACTCACTCCTTAAATTAGCATTGGGAAGGTAAACGAAATTATGTACAATGCACATCCTTTATGCTATTATCATACCTATAATAACATAGATTAAAGACCTATGCATCATAATTGTCGCAAAATCAGTGTTTGATATCGACTTTGATTGGGTTCTTGTAAATTTTAATGCCATAAGAACGCTTCATTTTACATATGTTTATAGAGTTTAGAAGGTTTATAGAAGTATGGTTAATAAAGTGAATTTAGAGCCAATTCCTTTTCGACAAGATGAAATTATTCAAAAACTATAACAAAGATTCAAACCTACACATTGAATATTTATAATGTCATTAGACTTATTTTTTAAATTTGATTAAATTATCCATTAGCAAGCTTTGTTTAAGTTAATTTAAATAAAAACAAATTTTCCCTCTTTCTTGCTTTTTTATTTTATTTTATTGTATTTCTATATCGATTTCGAGGAAACAATCCTCATCTTCAGTAGAATCTTACATAAAATTTAAACATTATGATATAATATCAAAACTTATAAAATTACTTACTGTCAATTAAGTTGAAAAAATATTAAACATTAAATCCAACATATCATCCAAAGTAAGACTTCAACAACTTTAATCCAAATTTGAAACTTTTTCCTTTTATATAATTGAATAAATACAATAGAATATCAAAAATCAAAGATCAAAAACCAAAAATCAAGACACATTTAAACAAAATCCAAAATAATACAAAACAAACCACGCGTTTACAGTTGACAAATAAACGAAAAATGACTGAAGGTCAAAAGGAACAAACAAGAAAGAAACTGGTATTTATCCTGAATAACACTGTTTATATTTAAATTTAAAATCTTTTAATGAAGCAAAAATGGGCTCTGTATTGATTTGTATTTGATCATTTAATAAATTATAATTTTGATTGTGTTTATACTTTAAAATTTCTAAAATTTCAAGCAAATCCAATCTTTGACCTTTATTACATTTGTGTATTAAGTTAGTTTCTTTATATTTAATTGTATGTCCCGTTTCCATTTTATGTTTATAAACATTAAAATTATTTTTAATTTTCATGTTCTGGTTTGTTTTGAGAAGAAGCAAGAAAGAGGGAAAATTTGTTTTTATTTAAATTAACTTATTTTTTAAACTCCATATATCCTGTACATAAAAATTATAATCAAAAAAATTCTACAGATAACTCTAGAAATTCATCTCAATGAGGATCAAATAAGAAATAAATTTCCGCGGACAGAATAGTTAAGAAGATATTAAGAAAACAAATATGCCCGTCAAAGAAACTTGTTCGTGTAAACTAGCTTCTATATCGAGTTGGTAGAGGAAGTCCCTTTATAAAGCAGTCCCTGAAATCCAAAGTTATGGACGCGATTAACATTTCCTTATATCGTTTAAACATCTAACAACCAATCAAAAATTTCACTATGGAGAAAGAAAAGGAAAACTTACCAGCTACCATTCCTCAAAATATCACTAACCAGGAAACGTCTTGAGATATATTTACACAGGGATATATAAGGGACACCAGACCTACAAAGTATAGAGTTGAACAAAAGAAATGTACATTTATATGTACTACAATATTGCCATGGTAACATGGTAATCATCAAAAGTTAAAATTTCGTATTCTAATTTTTTCCAAGGCGACCAATCTGTGGGCGAACGTTTTTATTTTTGTTGTTAATATTGGTTTTTTACCCCATTCCCTTAATTAAAAATTGGTTGAGCATTAGCATGTTATTATTTACTTCTGTTATTTTTTTGTGTGTAATGTACAAGGCAAACAAAATGCAAATTTATAATTTTTTGTTTGTTTGTTTTTCTCTATTCAGCGAATATAATTTTTCATTAAGGTCTTTATTTTCTTTCATAACGTATGGGCATAACGCTGGGGAGAACTATCAACATGGATAAAATAAATACAATTTAATAATAAAATTTTAAATTAATAAATTTATAAAGTTATATCTCAAAAACTAATTGAGGAACTTCAAAACTGATGTCTCTAATTAAAACTGGATACTTTTCTTTGCAAGTTGTGCTAGTTTCATAAAAATTGAGCAAGAAATCGATTTTTCACAAATTTTTAAATATTGCTGCGTAGAAATATTGCCATTAATAAAAACCAATTATATTCAATTAATTATAAAAATTAGATACTTTTCTTTATAGGTTGTGTTAGTTTCATAAAAATGGAGCAAGAAATCGATTTTCACAGGATTTTAAAGATGACGGAAAATAGTTTAAAAATTCTTAAGAAACCGATTGTATTCAAATATTAATATCTCAAGAATTAACTCATATTTTCCGTAATTAGTCTCTTCATTAAAAACTACTTTCTTTTCTTGACAAGTAATGGTAGTTTTATAACAATTAACCAAGAGATCGATTTTTCACAGATTTTTAAATATTGTTGTGAAAAACTACTAACGTTGATATAGAACCAATTAAATTCAAATATTTATATCACAAGGACTAATAGAGGTTTTCAAACGGTTGGTATTCATATTTAAAAGTAGATATTTTTCTTTACAAGTTCAGTTAGTTTCATAATAATTATACAAGAAATCGATTTTCCATACAATTTTAAATTTTGCTGCGATAAATATTCAATATTGTAAAAATCGCTTAAATTCAAACATTTATATCTCAACACTGAATCGAGATTTTCCAAAACTAATCTGTTTATTTAAAATTAGACACTCTTCTTAATAACTTGTGATAGTTTCAGAAAACTTGAACAAGAAATCGACTTTTCATGAGGTTTTTAAAGCTTTCCGAAAAAACTATTTTTATTATTGTCCAAAATCCAATATTTCATGCTGGTGTTTTATACACTGACGAAGCTGCTTTTACAAAAGACGGAATTTTGAATTTTCATAACAATCACGTTTGGGCGGATCAAAATCCTCACGCTGTTGTGCAATCAGGAAGCCAGTATAAGTTTCCTGTAAATGTTTGGCTCGTTATACTTGGTGACCGATTGATAGGACCAACGGTTCTTCCTAATCGCTTAACTGGTGAAACTTATTTGGACTTTCTGCGAAACACTTAGCCGATATTATTCGAAGATGTACCTCTCCAGGAAAGGTTACAAATATGGTTCATGCATGATGGCGCGCCTGCACTTTTTGTGATTATTGTTCGTAATTTTCTTAATACTGAATTTTCTGGTAGATGTATAGGAAGTGAAGGTTCAATAGTTTGGCCACCTAGATCACATGATTTAAATCCTCTAGACTTTTTTGCATAGCGTTACTTAAAAGCATTAGTGTATTCTGCAACTTTTAATAACTTGGAGAATCTCCAGCAAAGAATAGAACACGCGATAGGCTCATATCTATTCGCCAATCTCCAGGAGTCTTCGAAAGAGTGCGTGATTCTTTTGTACGAAGATGTCAAGCATGTCTTCAAATTGAGGGAGGTCATGTAGAGCATTTACTTTAAGCATTTTGTGTTCCTTTAAGCATGTTCTGTTTGTACTTTCCCCAATTAAATAAACATTTGAAGACCAAGACGCTTCATTCACTAATAACACTGGAATTGTGCATATCTTCGAAACCACTGCTTTTAAGACCTAGGTTTACCAATACTTTTTTGTTTATCTTGATGAGAACTATAAGTGGGCAAAATATCCGAACACAATTTTTAAACACCCGGTATATTCAGTTTTATGCGTAGAAACGCGACATTTTAATCATTAATTTGTTAGAGTAAAATAGTTTTCATTACAGCCCTTTCATGAAATTCAACAAACAAATCTTATTTTAGGTGATATTATGTGTTGTATATTACGTTTAAGTTTAAAGTCACTGATATGTGGACTTTTCTTATAGTTAAATATTTCTGATTAATTGTAATTGTCAACATTTATAGTAAATTGGTAGAATAAATTTATTTAATAATTGGATATACATTATTAATGAAAATTAAACTTGAAATATCCATCACTATAATAGCTGAAATAGATGTAACTTTGAACCTATCGTTTTGGCAACATTCTCAAACGTAAAACTGAAGCCCAAACATCAACTTTAAAGCTAATAAGAAGATATATATATATATATATATATATATAATACCATGATCAAATCGTGCAAATTTGCACGACTTGAAAATCAGTTAGGTACAATATTGTTGTGAATTTATCTTTAAATAGATGTCATAAAAATCCAATTCGCAAATAATATTCTTATCATGCGCAACCACTTAATTGGAAACGAGATAATGTTATCTACTCATCTTAATATTTATCATCCTATACAAGTCACTTAATACGATGAAAATGTTGTTTAAAATCACAAATTAATCGATTGACTACTTAAATGACGTCAGGTCATCTCCATTAAAAAATGTTATACAAACCACAATAATATTTCCAATTTTATTTTATATACAGCAATATTATAAATAACGTAACGACAAGTAATAAGTACAAAATTTCAATGTTTTATAAAAATCAGAAAATGCAAGATGTGCAAAATTAAAATAAGAGCTACATCATCTTTAAGCTTTATCTTAATTTCCTGCGAGAAATCATAGCGTCAATTTGCTGGGCAAATTTAATAAGTCGCCTTCACTCCTTCCTCGTTTTCAAGGACGTTCCAAAGTTTCGTTCCATTCCGTGGAAAAACTTAAAACGCCGTACTGATTTGTATTCAGGTCGGAGTTTAGCTCATATCAATTATTGACACAAAGTGGAGGAGAAACACGCAATACAAAATAAGAGAGAAGTCGAGATGATAAAAATAACCGAAATATTCGAAACAAAATAAAAGTATGGTTAAAAAAAAATGGTCTATTTTGATTAATTAACAATCAAATAGGTACGATTAATTGTAATTAGCGATTTAATTTTATTTATTATTATTAGAGTATCAATGATTTTCAAAATACTTACTTTTATCTCGATTTTAAAACCTTAATGTTTCAATATCACCCAACAAGGACACTAAAACAACTTTTTGTCACGAATTCCTTTACAACAATGTGAATACCGCGTCTGCCAGTGTCGCTTATCACTTATTATCCTTATCACTACGAAGATAACATTTAACAGGTTTTAACATCTGCTGTACACCAACGAAATGAATACGTTTTGTTAATGCTTTAAACAGTTTTTTTGTTCCGTATTGATCGAAGTGTAAATACACAAAGCGTACGTCATGGAGATTTTAAATAGTTGCTAACCTTGGCTTTAAAAACTTTAAATGATTGTGTTATTTTTTAATTTATTTAATCCGGCCAAAAATACGAATGCTACAAAAAATTTGTTACATTTTATGGCTCAAGTTCAAGGGTAAAATGAAAAAGTTTTTGGAATAACTTTGTGGTATATGCCACGTGTACTCGATTTTAGGATTTCTCAGCAACAGTGTGATGTAAAAAAAACAAGCAGTGGGGAAACGAGTTATAACTTTACTTTGTAGGATGAATAAAAATGTTAAGAAAAAAAACTATCGATTCTAAATTTCTAATTCGAAAAGTGTACTTACTTAACTTTGTTACAATTTCTTGTTAACCAAAATGAGGTATTACATTTATTCTTAGTGGCGTTGGGGAAGACGTATCTTTGAACGTTTTACAACCCTCCCGTTACTTGATGTTTTATTATCAACCCAGTTTTATTACCAAATAAATTATATTGTTCTCGTTTACCAAACCAAAGTCATTTATTTTATGTAAACTCAACAACAATTATTACAGTCCAACAAGAATTTGATGCAAATATTGTTAAATTAATTAACGATAAATAAATAAAAACATTAATTTAATTAAAGATTTCAAAAGATCTAAGTAAAATAAGTAGTTTGTTTTGATAGCAATACAAAAACATATTTTTTACCTATATTTTTTCTGTACCCGCAGGAAGAAATCTATAGAGACACTAACGAAATGGATGACTGCCAATGGAATCAATTCAAGGTTATTACTATTTATAAATAGTTCACTTTGTCTTTAAAGCACGATTTTGATTTAGTAAAACGTTAGCACTTATTGTTTGTGTGTAAAATTTGTAAAAAATTGAATGAAACCTTAAAAATTAGATTCAACAGTTTTATATAAGAAGATTGAGTCATAACTGAGAGTTCGCAACAGTGCTTATATCATCTTAACCTTAACCTAATAATAGTACCAAATATTTATAAATCTATATTCCACGAAGTATTGGATGTATATTTATGAACGATATTCTCCTAAGTACGCCTTACAATTTGAGCAATAGTGATGAGTGCTTTGACACGATTCGCAAATATATGGAATGCATACACAGGGCAAGCACCTGAAAAAATATTAAATTAATATTAATATATTATACAATAATATTGAGTAATAATGTTTATAAAAAAATTTCAATAATTACTTACAAAGCGCATAATATTAACGCAATAACATGAGTCATCGAATTTGGTTTATATTTAATATGGGTCATCTCGCGGACTCCGCAGTAGGTGCAATGAACCATTTGACTGTCGGAACCGAGTTTTAATGCTGGTATAACTAAAATAATAGTTTATAGGAAATTATAATAATGTGAGTCCAAAAATAATATCAATCACACAGAATCAAAAGTTTCGGAAAAACTAGCTTTCTTTACAAATTAATATTTATTTTAATAAAATTAAATTATAAATTTTAGAAAAAAATCTTGCTTTAAGTAAGCCACATTGAAATTATGGAAATATTTATTTATTTTAATGATTATAGAAATTTAAAGACAGGAATTTCTTCTTAATTTTTTATGATGATTATCAATACATTTGACGTTTCGAACGATTTTAAGTAGTTCATCATTAGAAACCGCTCTAAAAAAGATTAAAATCAACGTCGACAACATTACGGAAAACATTAAAACAAATCGAACGGAAACTGGATATATATTATCACAAACAAACAAAAACGTATTGAATATCCTTATTAATTAATTTGTCAATTTCATCGCTTAAATGTATATTTTCCATAATTATCTATAATTTTATACCTAATTTCCAATTTACAATGCAATTCTATACGCTCATACGAATCTAGCGATCTATCATCTATCATTATTCAACAAAGTTTTTGGATCTAGCCGTTTTAGTTTTTAAAATATGGCCAAAAATAAAAAAATGACTTTCGTTTTTTGCCTATAACTTCTTTATTTTTCGTTTTTCCGTGAATCTGAAAAAGCATTCTTAAGGCAACTTTTTATGAAAAATGTCATAACAAAACTAGAAATTTTCTCCGACGTTTCGTTTACGTGAAACTATCATCAGGTTTATTTTTTCTTATGAACGCCATATTTGATTTTAACACCAAAAAATAGCATAATTAATTCTGATTTCAATGATACGTCACACAATGTATTTCATTTAAAAAAACATGGAATTATTCAAAAAAAAAAAGTAAACCTGATGATAGTTTCACGAAAACGAAACGTCGGAGAAAATTTCTAGTTGTGTCATGACATTTTTCATTAAAAGTTGCCTAAAGAATGTTTTTTTCAGATTCACGAAAAAATGAAAAATAAAGAAGTTATAGGCAAAAAATGAAAAAGTTATTTTTTTGTTTTATATTAAAAACTGAAACGGCTAGATCCAAAAACTTTGTTGAAAAATGATGAGCTCTAAGATACGCAATTTTGCCCCCATTTAACCATTTCTGTATCTTTTATGGTTTCTGAGATCCCAATGGTGGGGGTCGAATTTGAATTACCCTGTATATTATAGAGATTATTAAACTATCAATTAACTAAATTCCAACAACCAAAATTAACCATATATCTAGTTTATTTATTATGCCTGCATAATAACTGCCTATATATCCTGAATCTGATTTAAAATTAACTGACTTATTAGTTCTTGGTAATGTAGATAGCTTCACTGTTCTTTCTATTGAACGTATCACCTTCAGTGGTCAACACTTAAGGCATGTCCAAATTAAAATTATGGCGATTCTTGATTGCATGTTGGCAGAGAGCTGTCTTATTATTAGTTTTATGTTGATTAACATCGTATTTATGTTGTTTTATGCGTTTATGTAAATGTTGTTTGCTTTCACCTATATACAATTTAATGCAGTTATTACATTCTAATTGGTATATGGTGTTAATTTTGTCAGTCTTATCTATTTTATCTTTCATATTACTCAAAATATTGGTTAATTTATTATTATTATATTGCGCTAACTTAACTTCCTGAAATTCATATTTCATAAAAATAGCTTTAATTTTATTAGTTATTGTCGGAATATATTTTATTTTATAGAATTTACTTTTTTTATTTTTATCTGCAATATTTTGTATATCCAATCCGTTTGAATCATCTTGATGAAACGTTTCCGTATGTGGTAAGAATCTGTGATTCTTGTTTGAGTTTGGGTATTAATTTTATTCTTATTACTAATGCCTATATTATTATGCGTATTTGGTCTTATGATTATCTAAAGCCCATAAATTTGTTTTTAAAAAGTGTCATATTTAAAATAGTTATTATGTGTACAAAGCTTTATTCCTAATAAAAACAATTTTTTGTCTTTTATATCAGTAAAATTCTCAACTTTATCTCTCAAAAATTTTCAATTTTCAATTTATCGAGACGCTTCTTAAGCATAAAGGCATTTTTAACGTCGTAATGATTTTCATCATTTAAATTATTCAGAGATTTATTTAAAAATATAGATAACGCATTGGTAGGTCCATTTATATTATTGATGATTGGACGTAAAGGTTTATTATCTTTATGAGCTTTTAACAATCCAGGTATCCTAGGTGTAACATAATGGTTAGGTGATAATCTTAACTTTGTTGTTTTGTAATGAATCCTTTCTTTTCTAATACTTTTAGATAATCATTTATGCGATTAACTAGATTAGGATCTGGATCCAATCTAGATATTTTATGAGTATCTATACCGTTAAGTAATTCTTTCATTTTATTGTTATATTCTGATTTATATAAGAATGCTATATAAGAATGTCCTTATGTTGAGTTAAATTTTTTTTTTTAAATTCATATCCTTTAGCACTCTATTATGAAATATTGAAAATGTTCTATTATTATTTAACGTCAATGATTGTTTATTTTTCATATTCTTGTTATTTCTATCTAGATAATTGGAAATTTCATTAATTATATTGCTTCTCGTTATATTAATGTGATTCTCTGAAGTTTTCTCCAAATATACATCCAAGTTTTCTTCTCTGAATGTGATGTCTATTATCACATTTAAAACATCTTTGTGTAGAAATTTTTTATTGTTATGTGTTGTAAAGCAAAATTTTTCACCCAAAGATTAAAGATTTCGTATATTTATGGGTATTTGTAATTTTGTAAGATTGAGAAAAACTGAGAAAGGTAGAATACCTTTCTTATGTAATTCGTTATTTTTTTTTGTAACCAATCATCAGCATGTAAATTTATGTTAGAATTATTATGTGTATTTTCTAAGAACATGGGTAATAATATAGGTAATAACATAGGTAATAAAAAGTAAATTCTATAAAATAAAATATATCCCGACAATAACTAATAAAATTAAAGCTATTTTTAAGAAATATGAATTTCAGGAAGTTAAGTTAGCGCAATATAATAATAATAAATTAACAAATATTTTGAGTAATATGAAACACAAAATAGATAAGACTGACAAAATTAATACCATATACTAATTAGAATGCAATAACTGCAATAAATTGTATATAGGTGAAAGCAAACAACATTTTAATAAACATAAAACTAACAATAAGACAGACAGTTGTCTTATGCCAACATGCAATCAAGAATCGCTATAATTTTAATTTTGACATGCCTAAAGTGTTGACCACTGAAGATGATAGGCGTTCAATAGAAAGAACACTGAAGTTATCTGCATTACCAAGAACATTAATAAGTCAGTTAATTTTAAATCAAATTCAGGATATATAGGTAGTTATTATGCAGGCATAATAAATAAACTAGGTATATGATTAATTTTGGTTGGTGGAATTTAGTTAATTGATAGTTTAATAATCTCTATAATACATATAAATTTTTTACTTTTATTAATAAATGTTGATGTAAATAAATTCAAATTTTGAAAATTTGAATCGTATTGAGCTGTTTTCCATATAGCGCATTGTAAAAGAAAAACTGGTTTCCATAACGTTATTTCTTTCTTAAAGTCGCTAGATCCATATGAGCGTGTAGAATTGCATTGTAAATTGGAAATTAGATATAAAATTATAGATAATTATGGAAAATATACATTTAAGCGATGAAATTGACAAATTAATTTATAAGGATACTCGATAAAGGTACTCTTTTCTTCTCTCTTTTCGAGGTATCTTTTAATGTGTACGTTTTCGAATAATAAGAAATATAAATAATATAAAATATAATAATAAAAATATAAAATTACAGTTCATAAAATAAAAATATATAAGTGATTAATTGGAACTTGATAAGGAAGAAGTGGTTTCATAGTAAACTAATCTTGATAAAAACATAAAAAACAATTTTATTTTTGAAATTATGATTCATATTTAGCGTAATAAATTCCTTCTACATTATTTTGTGTAAAGTTGAAATCCGCGGTTCTAACATTTTTTTGGGAAAAATCGTACATTTAAAATGTAAAATTTGGTACAACCCATCCTCAAACTATTTTTTATAACTTCAAAAAGTTCCAGTTTTCAATTTCAATCAATTTTGAAGAAAAGAATGTTTCTTTAACCTTATTTACAAAATTTGTCAATTGAAATCAATTATATTTAATTATTATTAAAGAAACTAAATCCACGAACATAAAACTAAAACAAATTCTAACATCTTTAAACACCATATAGAAACTGGTCACAATATAGCTTACGGAGGAGTTGAACTTTTACATTCATGCAATAAAAGTTCAAAATTAGATTTTCTTGAAATTTTAGAAATTACTAAACACAAAAACAACAATAAATATCAACTCAAAATTTCATATGTAACCATCAGATTCTTTTTCGTAAGTTTATTCTATATTTGATTGATTGCTTTCTAACTTGTTTTTACATTAATTTTAGATCCCTTTGTGATATTATCATAACGTACCACATTTTTATTACTTCGTCCATTTTAAATTTTAATAACGACGCAATTTTATATTCAGAATTTCTTTCAAAATTTAAATTTTCAACATTTCAAACCTTCTTTAATGTTGCAATCTGTGGGCTTCACTTTCTGACAGTGAGCATTTCGTTATATTTTTTATATATATATATTTTTTTTAATATTTTTTTACATTGTTATATATTTTTTATATTTTTTTACATTTTCTATATTTTCATATTTTTACATATTTTTTATATCCATTACATATTTTAATAATAGTTACGCCTCTGTATAGTTTTCAGCTGATGATAAATTAAGTTTTATGCAAGTGTAAAGGTCACATCTGTGTTTTATTTTTATATTAAAAATTAAAGAAACTGTTCATCCAGGAAACATGAAATTTGGTTTAATCTAACGTAAAACATTTTCATCCCAAGTAGTTTCAGTTCTTAAT